TAAATTTAAAAAGTTGTTATCAGCTTATCTAGAAATATGTTTCGTTTGACAAACTAATAACATTTGTTTGAAATAAAATCAAGTAACAGTATATATAGGTAACCCCATATAACACAGCACTTCTATAGCACGGATTCATTCTAACACGGTTCAAGAATTGGGAACATCCCCCATATAACAGTGGTTTTATAGCACAGGTTCACTCTAACATGGTTTGGAAATTGGGTAAAACCCTTGTACAACATGAAATGTAATAAAGGGTGCGTTCTTTTATACTTTCGTGTAACTCCATGCGAGCATTCTAATTGTTTTTGTGGCTACTTTGAATGCTCTTTCAACAATAATCCATTAAATTTTACATTTAATTAAATATTTAATTGGGACCCTTCTTTTGCCTCTAAAAGCTCATTTTAGAATTATAGATTCCTCCATCATGATACTATCAATAGTGCGGGCGCCGCCATCTTTTTTTCACTGTCGTTCCTAAATGCCTACAAATAGCAGCGTACTCCCGTTGCAGAGCGACCGCTATTAACGAACGCACGCAAAAACTGTTACCAGTTGATGATACTCATGCTGAGATCATCATATAGGATGAATAATCCTCTGGTAAAATATTTACTTAAATAATAAATAAGTATTTTACCTATGAAAAAAATGAATAATAAATCTGATTTAAATAAGGATTTAACAGCATGTTTTTTAATTTTTGGAACCTAACCCCCTTTTCACACTAGTTCTTTGTTTCGTATAACATGGATTCGCATAACATGGCAATTTTTTGGAACATAACTCCCGTGTTATTCGGGGGTTACTTGTACAGCTATATACATATTAATTAGGGAAATAAACATTGAAAAATCCAGGACACTATAGTTCATTTAATATAAGAATATAGATTATCCAAACTGCATCTTCACTTGTCTCCTTTTTAGTGTCCTGGATTTTTGAAATGTAGTATGCTTACTTTTCACATAATCATCCAATCACCTGCAAACATTTTTTGTCTGTTACGTAATTTACTGAGGTTGCAGCCTCAAAGAAAAGGTTAAACCTCAGTGTGTCTTAGATGAGTTCTGATCTGAAAAAAGGACAAGAGAAGATGTTTGGATATTACATTCTTATTTTTAATGAATTTCAGTGCCCTGGTTTTTGAATGTAATATTTTATTCATTTTTTTTGAGATTTATTTATTTCATTTATAATAGAAGATAATTTAATAACTTTAAGAATAATTCCAGCTCTTTCACAAATATTGTAAACAATCCTGTATTTTAGAGTCAGAATAATATACAAAACTTAAGCTTTGTACCTTATTTTGACCCCAAAAGAGCAGGATTGTTTAATAATTTAATAATATTTTTTTTCAAAATTTTTAATTTATTTATCCCTCAATTTCATATTATTATTAAGATATTAGGCATGAAGACAAGTGCTTTAAATAACTTAACCAAAACTAACAAAAATAGAATTTTATTGCCATAAATGACAATTCAATTTGGTATTTATGGTTATGTATAAATTACTGTAATTTTGATGATAGTATCATCAAGAATGTACTGATAGCTTGTGAATTTTTTTAAAAAAGCTATGGAATATGTGAAAATAGTGTATTGCTTAAATTCAAATTTATCAAATGTTATATTAAAAATAACTGTGTACTTATGGCAATGTTGACATCAACAAATGCATTTCTTAATTCCTGTTAAAAGAAAAATATTTGTAGTGATGATTGAATGATTGGAATTTTTTTAATGCAGTAAAATTTATAAAATATATAGTTTTTTTCATTATGTAAATCTATCACAGCAGAGACCTGTAACCTTTAATGACTTCTGGGAGAGTATTCTTGTATTCTGGTTGTCATCTCTTTGAGAATGAATACAGTAATACCCCGAACTTACGCGATAGGTGGGACCGAGCGATAACCGTGTAAGTCGGGGTATAATTTCACAATTTGTGTAAAATCCAAGTCGGATATATGTAAGCTAATAAATGTTCTTGTTAATCTCGTCTTTTGATTCGTTCACAGTTACAAGAAATCACCACGTAGAGCCTCTGAAGTCTCCGTAGATATAACAAACACAGAAATAAATAACACAAAATAAATTGTAGCTATGTGTCGATTCCACGCTACACGTCCGAACATATAAGCTGAACAATAGTGTGGGGGGAGTGAGTAATCAAGAGTTGTGTGGTGCTCAAACAAAAGACAAATTGACGAGATTTGAAAATCGTGTAACTCCGGGTCCGCGTTAGTCGAGGTATTACTGTACTACATTACAATCATATTACCAATTGGCTAAAAATAAACTTTTAGCCATTCTGTGACCTACTTGTGATGTAGTGCAGTCCCAGTGTGACCCATTAGAGTTCAAAATATTCTAATGTGGAAATAAGTCTTTAGGCACATTTTTCTTCCCTTTTCAAGTATATTAATGTGCTGATCACGTAGAGTTTTCAGGGTTTTCTTTGTGTCAAATACCTAAACAGGAGTCAGTTTCTCATAGTGTGTCCTCCTGAGAGATGCTCCTCTCTTGGCAGATCATCCAAATGTTGCTGTAGCGCTACTTTTGTAATGAATTATCTTATGATACAAAATAAGGCTACATACAAAAAACTTAATCTTTAATTTCTTATGTACATGAGATATGAGATATGATGCTACACTACCGGATGAACATAGAATTGAGAACACGTGCATACAGAGCGAGGTCCAAAACCAAAAGTGAGGACATAGGTCAGGTTACCAGGTCTGTTCAGTTCAGAGTTCCTCCTGGTGGCGACTTTTGGATTTATGACCAAAGCTGTCGCCACAGTTGCATTGCTTTATTTCCATCAATCGATCAAATAAATTAACTAATCAATAATGTAATATTTTTTTTCAATTTGCTTTACTGTTTATTGTAAGGATTTGGTGCATGTATGAGTGTATAAATTTATGCAATCAAATACAATATGCAGTCCTTTGTAAAATGGGATATATCCTTCTGATTAACAGTTTCTTCTTTGATCTATCTGGTGTTTGCTTTCCTGAATTATATGGTTGACATATTTTTTAAAGCATTATTTCAAATAATGTCTGAAAAATGTGTGTAAATACTTTTAAAGAAAACATTAATTCAAAGAAAACACAATAGTAAGCACTGATTATTTTAAAAGTGATGTGAAAACATTAAGACTAATATGCTGGAAGAAGTTTATTTTGATGAGATTTAAAAAAAGAAACTGAGTGGACTATGCTATCTAAATGTTTAAAGTTTATTTTGTATTACCGTAATATAAATTTAAATGAGAAATTTTTTAAACAATAAATTCTTACTGGAACTAAAACAAAATATATAAAAATAATATAAATAACACCTTTTTGACGGTCCAGCAAAATGTTTAATTTGATAAAAACATTTTCGACCAATTTTAGCGGTCTTCATCAGTTATTCTAATATTAAAAAGAACAAAGCATTCGAATTTATATAATACAAAAATTAAATAAACCCAAACCACGGTTGCGCAGATCAACGTACATGCACTTGTGGGTTACTCAAAATTACAAAAAAGTACTGCAGCGTTTGCCAAACAGGATATCACTGTATTCTGGGATTGAGTGGCAATCATTACAACTACAAGATTTATACAAGCTGTGAGGCATCTTAAAAAAATGGAGATACACAAAGCACATATTATCACGGAATGCATTAATCACAGGGATGCTGATGGATTATCCACAGCTTGGAAGTCCTTTTATAATAACGTGGACGGCACTATTATTTATTTTACATTTATTTGTTTGTATTTTTTATGTTTTTGTAATTTTGAATAACCCACAAGGGCATTTACGTTGATCTGTGCAATCACAGTTTGGGTTTATTTAATTTTTGTATTATGTAAATTCGAATGCTTTGTTCTTTTTAATATTAGTATAACTGATGAAGACCGCTAAAATTGGCCGAAAATGTTTTTATCGAATTAAACATTTTGCTGGACCGTTAAAAAGAGAAATTTTTTTGATATGATATATGAAAAATCTAGATATTCTTTTATGTACTTCTTACATGTTTATAAATTTGTATATAGATGTTAAAATGGAATTGGCATCTTCAGATTCTTGATAATGTAATCTATTTCGTTAAAGTAAAATACCAAAATGAATAAACTAGATGAAACAAACTAGAAAAAAATGTTTCATCTTAATGTGTCAAATATTAATTATATACATATTTTTTTAAATATTCAAATGATAAAATTAACTTACAAAATAGTACAACTACTATTTTATATAACTATCTACTGCTACAAAAATTTTCTTGTCAAAGTAATATTTTTAATTTGAGACTATTTTCATAATGTTTGAAAAATCAACATTTATTTTGAGAATAATGCTAGAAAGTTTATTACTACAAGAATTTTAGATGAAAGATTTTTGTTGTCATACATACCTCAGTAATAATTGAGCATATGATATGATATATTTTTCCAGATTTCCATTGGATATCACAAGAAATTTGATTTGCTGTTTTCACTAACAAGTTTGATTTTTCTTGAAAGATTCATTTATGTAAAATTTTATAAGAATTGTGCATTGTTCAGTATTCTGAATGCGTAAGAATAGTTTTTTATAATATATGGTAACTATAGAGCCAGGAACTTAGTATTTTAAGTGTCTTAAAAATTTGCAAAATTGGTTTTAAATTTGAAATAGAAAGAAAAATAATATTCTATGTTTTTTGACTGAAAGTAAAAGATAAAAAAAATAATTAAAGCTATTAATTCTATAATATATAACTCTTAACTAAAGATGTGAAAAAAATGGTTAATGGTATAATGATACAAACTATAGATTTTATCTGAATGAATTAATATTAAAAAGAGATTTACTTAATGATTTTATTACATTAACATAAGAAATTTGTCTTGTAAAAAAATATAAATTATTGCTCTAAAAATTATGTATTTATATGATCAGAAGATAGGCAACCTTATATTTTTGCTTTATTTCTTATAATGCATTAATATTTTACAGGCTGAATTGCAGCTGTTGTCATCTTATCCCTCTGTTGCCCTGGAGTTGTAGCCGAGACGGCTCCCACATCCTGGGCAGAGGATGGGCAAACAGAATAGCAAGCTGAAGCCTGAAGTCCTGGAGGACCTACGCCAAAATACCGAATTTACTGATGCAGAAATTCAGGAATGGTACAAGGGATTTCTTAAAGATTGCCCCAGTGGACACCTATCCATTGACGAATTTAAAAAGATCTATGGAAACTTTTTTCCATATGGTGATGCTTCGAAATTTGCAGAACACGTGTTCCGTACTTTTGATGCCAACGGTGATGGAACGATAGATTTTCGTGAATTTTTGTGTGCATTGAGTGTTACTTCCCGAGGAAAACTGGAACAGAAATTAAAATGGGCATTCAGCATGTATGATTTAGATGGAAATGGCTATATTTCTCGACAGGAAATGTTGGAAATTGTCACGGTGAGTTCACTTTCTTACATTAAAATAAATTTTTATGTAATTATTGTTTGATTAAATAAATTCCTCATTTATGGAATTAATTATTACATAATTAAAATATCCGAAATAAACTTACTAGCCTTTTCTCCAGGTTGACTTTTTGATAATAATTAATTCAATAATCTGAATGTCAGTTGTATTGAGCTCATTGTTACATTTAAATTGTATTTATGTCCTCAATTGAAGTTCATGAGTCTATCATAGTGGGTGGGTGAATTGTTCTAAACAAAAGCATCCTGTCAAATCTGCATATTTTAATCATTTGTGAATTTGTTTCAGGAAATATATTAAAATATTACCATAGTATTCTGAAATTTACTATTGTATTGGTGCTATTTATCTAAATAATTGTAGTTTTACACTAACTTATGTTAACGATTACATACACTTTGTATCCTGCATTTTCTTGCATTCAGCTTTTTTAGAGATGGATTCTATTTGCAATTCTATGAAGAAGCTGTTTTTAAATAGTAGTAAAATCAATATTTTTTGTAAGTTAATACATTGCATATAAATGTTAGATAACAGTTTTCCATTGCAAAATTATATTTGAATTTTGTATTGCTTTTTGGAGAAAGTTACAGAAGACTGGTTGAAAATCTGTCAAAAATGTAAGTTTTTTGGAAACATCAATTACTATTAGTTACTTCCCTGAGTATATTTATATAATATAATAAACACAACTAACCCAATAGTTACTATAAAAAAGTCTCCATGACTCTAACTCTCGTTTAGCATAAACTGAATGAGAGCCATATAGGGCCTGGGCACTAAGATTCCTCCAATTGGTGCTAATATGGTTTTATCTAAAATCAGTCTGGAAGTGATGATTGACAGAGTAGGATAACTAGAAACACATCTGCACAGTAAGCAGGAATTGTGGGTTCTGCTCTTGGTTGATATTTTCTTAAAGAATATTCTAAAATTAAAATTATATTCTATTAATTTAAATGTAAATAATTATTTAAATTATTTAATGATAAATTATGTATAATTAAATAAATAAATAGGAAATTGAAACAAATAATATTTTCAGTTTATTAAAAAAGATGCACATACTGAATTTGAATCATTCATATATGATATATTTATGCAGTCAGCTGATGATAATTGAAAGATGAAGTATGAAATTAGTTTAATTATTTTAGAAATTAAACTATTTTTTATGTTTCCAGTAACAATAAAACTAAAGCAATTATTATTAAATTAACAAAGGCTTCTTACATAAACAATTTATGAATGCTTTTTGAGAAATATAGAATCAAAGATAATATTTTCAAATAACAGAAATAGAAAATATGGTAGAATAGTTTAAAAAATTAAGCTTGGTAGTTAATTTTTATCAGAAGAAACTTGATAAAAAAATACTCCTCTACAATAAAAATTTTAACAAAAGAAAGTATAATTTTTCCTACAGCTTTTGTATAAAAACACAACACCTAAAACACTGCATTGCTAGAAATCTAATATCACACTGTTTTTGATCAACTTAACTGATCATCCTCATCTATACTTCCTCATGTGTTCCATTTGTAGTTGTTCTAATGTAATATACAATTCAATATTACCTGAAGATGATCAATTAAGTTAGTTGAAAACTTTAGTGTGATATTAAAGTATTGCATTGTTGGAAATGTAGTGATTTTTTATTTTAAAAGAACATCCTGTACTTAAGCAGAGTTAAATGATATTAAAATAAAGTACAATAATGAGGTATTGTTTAGATTCTTTTAATACTCAAAAAATGCTTGAAGAGTGGTTTTTGAATAAAAAAAAAATCATTCAAAAGCTTTTTATAATATGTGTATCATGTATTATTGTTATTTTTCCTTGTTGTAACATTGGATAACAGATTTAAAAAGCCTTTATTATAGATACTATGAAAATGGTACAGATAAGTTAATTACAAAGAGTTTAAAGCATAATTCGCGACATGGGCATATTTTTGCCAACTTAGTGTTACATTGGTGATTTGGTCAGTACAGATGGAAGTACATGGGCATATTTGCCAACAGAGCAGTTATTTACAAGTATGTACAGAGTGTGCAGAGTTTACATGGGCTTTGTAGCCGCAGGATCGCGATACAAGGAAGGTATAAGTGAACCGAGTACACGGGCTTGATTGCCAACCAATAGACGCGTTACAAGTGTGGATGTAGTCGTAGGATACCGATTACATGGGCATGTTTGCCAACCACCAAGTAGTAGGATAGAGAGCTCGCTGGGTACATGGGCACAGTTGCCTGCCAGATATGCACGATACAAAGACGTGTAGCTTAGTTGTTGCTGGGCGGGAGCGATGTTGTACGATGCTGGCGGGTATCGCCGATGTGTCCTCTGTAGATGTCGTTACTCCATTTTATAGAGTCACTAACCATTAGTTTTTTCATAAGTTTGGCATAGTGACGACTGATGCCAAGCCGCTGCAAGGTTGCCTCGTTGGCGTGGTCATATCCACCGAGAGCTCCGACAATAAAAGCACTGATGTGGGTGTCGAAGCCTTGCTGGCGGAAGTGCTGTGCAAGGGGAGCATATTTGCGTAGTTTTTCCTCTCTCGCAAGCTGGAAGGCGGTCTGTTCGTTCTCAAAAGGCGTCGTGACATCGATGATTGTGGCTGATTTTGATTTTTCGTCAATGATCACCATATCTGGTCGACAGATGTCGCTGAACCCCGGTACACGTTGGTTGACGAGTACAGTGGCTCCTTCGGGTTTGAATGCTGCCACTAGACGGTTGAGTATGGCGTTGTGCCTTTGCGTGATGATATGCAGATTTGGTGGACAGTGGCAGAGGACGTGGGCTAGGGTCTCCCGGACATAGCCGCATCTCCTGCAACGTTTGGTGTCGTTGCCAAAGCGTCTATGTCCGCGGAGAGCCACCACACTCATCCTCGCCCGATGGATGAAGTACCAGTCGGAAAATCGAGTATATTTTCCGTTGTTTATGAAATGGTTACTTACCGGACTGAATGATGTCACTTTGTATGCTTTTCCTTGATCAGGTTTAGCAAGCAGCTTTCCGAGGAAGTGTTCTTTTAGAAGGCCGCAGAGGACCCTCTGGCAGTCCTCTGGACGGATTAGCGTAGTACCTGCTGAGATGTTGGGCAGATTTCCGGGTCCGACTGTCCAGGTGATGTTGATGCGTTTCTTTAAACGTCTCGTGGCCATTCGGAGCCTCGTCCACAATGATGTAATGTCAGTGCTTGGTAGCCCAAAGTCGCCAACCATTGACCCGTTGAGGTATTGGCATAAGTCTTCGTCGTTGGGGGTCCTACCTATACGCTTGTTGATGACCTCGGTGAGTGCTTTTATGGCGATGCCTGTGATGTTGGGGTCTTTGGAGAAAAAAAGGTGCATCGCATGAGACACCTGAGCGATATCAGCCAGTTGATTTGTGGGCGTAACATTGGTCCCGCCACACATGTAGGGGAGGTGCACTATTTCGGGGCTGGCCCGTTGTGGGAGGCCAAGCCATTTTTTGACATAGCGCTTTGTGGCCCTGTCAATTTTGGTAAGCGTGCTTTTAGGTGTTGTCCCGGCCGTTAGGCAGAAGGTGAGCTTGGGCATGATGAAGGTGTTCAGTGCGTCCACCTTCTGCCACGGCGCCAGCTTAGAGGTGTGCAGCTTTACCAATGACTGCAGAATTCCATCGGTAGTTGCGGTAGGGGTGTCGTGTTTACCAAAGCCTGTGGGAACACCAAGGTGGCGGTAGGCATCGTCGTTGCCCAAGACGGGGATAGTCTGTTGATTGAGAAGGAAGGAGTTATTACTAGTGGCGTGTTCCTTACCTTTAATGCTGAGAGTCCCACATTTGGCAGTGTTGAAGTTGATGTTCGCCCAATTAGTCCAGTCTGCAATGGCGTCTAGTTGCATTTGGAGGCCTTCTGCTGTGTCACTTATGAGAGCAATGTCGTCGGCGTATGCCAAGACACTGGTTGGGTAGCCGTTAAGAGAGTACCCTTTGTCGAGGTCCACAATGCGGCGTATGGCTGGTTCAACTGCAAGAATAAAAAGCAACGGGCTGATGGGGCAGCCCTGCTTGACCCCAGATTGCATTGGGATGGGCTCAGTGAGGCCCATACTGGTACGAACCTGAGTGGACGACCCATCATAGAGCTGTTGTAGCACGCAGATTGCATCTTGATGGAGGCCGTGCCACTTGAGGGATTCCCAGAGGGTCGCATGGGGGATATTGCCGAACGCATTGGCAATATCCAGCCAAGCGATAAAGCAGTCTTTCCTGCAGCGCCGGGCGTTTTGAATAACAGATTGGAGCACAAAGTTGTGCTCAATGCAGCCCTGATAATTTAAAAACCCTTTTTGTGAAGGAGATAGGCGGTTGTTAGTGTTACACCAGCATAGCAGTCTATCGGCAAGGCAAGCGGTGTAGAGCTTGCCGAGCGTGTTGGAGAGGCAGATCGGGCGCCAGTTGCTGATGTTGGAGACCTCACCCTTCTTGTGTATAAGCACAGTGGTCAAAATCTTCCAGCTGCTGGGAACATATCCTATTCTGCGTACGGCGTTGAAGATGGCTGCCGTGATTAGTCCTTTTGGGTCGACCCGCCTCCAGTGCAGGTATCTAAGCCTATCTGGGCCAGGTGCAGTGTTGTGGCCTTTGGAGATGCGTCGGGCTACCTCTTGGGGGGTGAAAGGGGCCTCGAAAGGGTTGTTGGTGTCAGGAGGCGTGCATGGTCGTACTGGAACTGGAGCGATGTCAGTAGGTGTTGTAGCTTTATACATCTCCCGGTAATGGTCCTCGATGGATTTGGCGTCTATTCGGCAGAAACGGGAGGGGCCGCCGACGACGCGGTCGAAGGCGCGCTTACGGTTGGCTCGATAGAGCCGCTGGATTTCACCTGCCTCCGGCTGGGAGCTGTTGTCGCGGTCACTCGAGCTACGGTGGTTGCGAGGTTGATGTTGTTGCTGCTGGGGTGGGGTGTGGACTTTACATATCTGCTGCGCCAAGGTGATGAAGTCTCCCAAAACTCCCTCCAAGATGTCTTCGTCGATTGCGGCGTCAAATCTGGCGATCCATGCTGATACCCATGATGGTGGAGGTGCATCGGCTTGCTGGTTGTTGGATGTAGTAGGTCTATTGCGGATTTCCTGCGTAATAGTAAGTGGACCTGATGGGGGGGAAGAGATAGGTAGTGGGCCTACCTGAGAGTCCCCAGTTGAGGGCTGGGGAGTGTCCCTTGTAGCTGTTGGGGGACGTGATGGTTGTGAAGCTGAGACGTCACGGCGGCTAGGCGTTGGTGCGGTACTTGCCGGGCTTGAGCGTAGGACATCAGCGTAGGATGGTGTCGGCGTTGGAGGGATCGCTTCGTTGCTGGGTGTCCCAGATGGCTGTTCCACTTCAGGGCTCGCCCGGACGGGTCTAGTGGTCCTTCTTCTTGGGCGACGCTGAGGTGGAGAGGGCGGCGAGGCCGGTGATGGAGGGTCCATGTGGGATTGGTCACTAGCGGAGACGGGCGAGGACTGTGGTCGAGGTTTTCTCGCAGCATAGCTTTTCCTCGGTCTGTTTGGTATTCTCCGGATAACACGGTCAGCTGGGAGCGGTGGCGGCGGGGAAGCGGCATCGATGCTTGCTCTGCAGGCCTCAGAGCGGGTCTGGTGGATCTTCATAGCCTTAAGTTTTTCTAGGACGAGTCCACAGGCCCTACACTCAAAGAGAAGCGGCACCTCATGCTCTCTCCTAAGATGCCTGACCAGGCCCGCATGGTCGCTGTACTCCCTTGGTATGGGGAGGCACAGCCTACAGCCGTGGGGCGGGTGCAGAGGGACTAGCACCGTTACTTCTGGCATAGCGTCAAATGTGTAGCGTAGATAGAGAGGGAAAAAGGGCGGAAATGCCCCCTGGGGTGCAGAGCAGCCAACCAAGGAGGGGCAGGAAGGGGAAGTGAGAGGGTGTCCTTAGTGGAACACCACGGGCCTTAAGGGCCACAGGGCGTCCAAGCCAGGCACCAGGAAAGCTACCAGCCAAGACTGGCGGCGATAGGTAAAAGTGTTGCCAGTCGAGCAGCGAATACACGGTGCGTTTAAACCGTGCAGGCCGCTCTTCTGGCGGAAGCGAGAAGAGTGAAGGAAAGTAAAACCAAAACCAAGAGTATACTTACCCAGAGGACTGGGGAGCAATGCAGGGCTCGGAATCCAGGTCTGGAGCTATTTTACTGAAGAACCATTAAGCTGATAAGAACAGATATAAAAACCTTTATTTAGAATCTAATAAAATTAACAATTATATGATGGTAAATAGCTACAATTATAAGTAGTTCCACGACATGGGCATAATTTTGCCAACCATTAGTAGTTACATATGTGATGATGAAAATTTTCCCGCGTTTACATGGGCTCTTACGCCAGCTTGGAGGNGATAAATGATGAAAATTTGCCATGTGTCTTCAAAATACACTATAAAGTCAGTGCTTAACAAGTCAACAATATGAAAATACACAGATTCATAAAAAAAATACTTATTACCTGTAATTTGGAAGCAAAGATTGGACAGAAGTCCAGTTAGTGTAACTGACAACGCATCCATACAGTAAGCAGCTACAGGTTCAAGTTCAACTCTGGGCCAATTCTTTTCTTCCAGAGCCTTCTAAATTAATAAGTAAACAATAAATTCTTACTGGAACTAAAATAAAATATATAAAAATAGTATAAATAATGCCTTTTTAACAGTCTAGCAAAATGTTTAATTGAATAAAAATGTTCTCCACCGATTTTAGCGGTCTTCATCAGTTATTCTAATATTAAAAAGAGCAAAGCATTCGAATTTATGTAAATAACACCTTTTTGACGGTCCAGCAAAATGTTTAATTTGATAAAAACATTTTCGACCAATTTTAGCGGTCTTCATCAGTTATTCTAATATTAAAAAGAACAAAGCATTCGAATTTATATAATACAAAAATTAAATAAACCCAAACCACGGTTGCGCAGATCAACGTACATGCACTTGTGGGTTACTCAAAATTACAAAAAAGTACTGCAGCGTTTGCCAAACAGGATATCACCGTATTCTGGGATTGAGTGGCAATCATTACAACTACAAGATTTATACAAGCTGTGAGGCATCTTAAAAAAATGGAGATACACAAAGCACATATTATCACGGAATGCATTAATCACAGGGATGCTGATGGATTATCCACAGCTTGGAAGTCCTTTTATAATAACGTGGACGGCACTATTATTTATTTTACATTTATTTGTTTGTATTTTTTATGTTTTTGTAATTTTGAATAACCCACAAGGGCATTTACGTTGATCTGTGCAATCACAGTTTGGGTTTATTTAATTTTTGTATTATGTAAATTCGAATGCTTTGTTCTTTTTAATATTAGTATAACTGATGAAGACCGCTAAAATTGGCCGAAAATGTTTTTATCGAATTAAACATTTTGCTGGACCGTTAAAAAGAGAAATTTTTTTGATATGATATATGAAAAATCTAGATATTCTTTTATGTACTTCTTACATGTTTATAAATTTGTATATAGATGTTAAAATGGAATTGGCATCTTCAGATTCTTGATAATGTAATCTATTTCGTTAAAGTAAAATACCAAAATGAATAAACTAGATGAAACAAACTAGAAAAAAATGTTTCATCTTAATGTGTCAAATATTAATTATATACATATTTTTTTAAATATTCAAATGATAAAATTAACTTACAAAATAGTACAACTACTATTTTATATAACTATCTACTGCTACAAAAATTTTCTTGTCAAAGTAATATTTTTAATTTGAGACTATTTTCATAATGTTTGAAAAATCAACATTTATTTTGAGAATAATGCTAGAAAGTTTATTACTACAAGAATTTTAGATGAAAGATTTTTGTTGTCATACATACCTCAGTAATAATTGAGCATATGATATGATATATTTTTCCAGATTTCCATTGGATATCACAAGAAATTTGATTTGCTGTTTTCACTAACAAGTTTGATTTTTCTTGAAAGATTCATTTATGTAAAATTTTATAAGAATTGTGCATTGTTCAGTATTCTGAATGCGTAAGAATAGTTTTTTATAATATATGGTAACTATAGAGCCAGGAACTTAGTATTTTAAGTGTCTTAAAAATTTGCAAAATTGGTTTTAAATTTGAAATAGAAAGAAAAATAATATTCTATGTTTTTTGACTGAAAGTAAAAGATAAAAAAAATAATTAAAGCTATTAATTCTATAATATATAACTCTTAACTAAAGATGTGAAAAAAATGGTTAATGGTATAATGATACAAACTATAGATTTTATCTGAATGAATTAATATTAAAAAGAGATTTACTTAATGATTTTATTACATTAACATAAGAAATTTGTCTTGTAAAAAAATATAAATTATTGCTCTAAAAATTATGTATTTATATGATCAGAAGATAGGCAACCTTATATTTTTGCTTTATTTCTTATAATGCATTAATATTTTACAGGCTGAATTGCAGCTGTTGTCATCTTATCCCTCTGTTGCCCTGGAGTTGTAGCCGAGACGGCTCCCACATCCTGGGCAGAGGATGGGCAAACAGAATAGCAAGCTGAAGCCTGAAGTCCTGGAGGACCTACGCCAAAATACCGAATTTACTGATGCAGAAATTCAGGAATGGTACAAGGGATTTCTTAAAGATTGCCCCAGTGGACACCTATCCATTGACGAATTTAAAAAGATCTATGGAAACTTTTTTCCATATGGTGATGCTTCGAAATTTGCAGAACACGTGTTCCGTACTTTTGATGCCAACGGTGATGGAACGATAGATTTTCGTGAATTTTTGTGTGCATTGAGTGTTACTTCCCGAGGAAAACTGGAACAGAAATTAAAATGGGCATTCAGCATGTATGATTTAGATGGAAATGGCTATATTTCTCGACAGGAAATGTTGGAAATTGTCACGGTGAGTTCACTTTCTTACATTAAAATAAATTTTTATGTAATTATTGTTTGATTAAATAAATTCCTCATTTATGGAATTAATTATTACATAATTAAAATATCCGAAATAAACTTACTAGCCTTTTCTCCAGGTTGACTTTTTGATAATAATTAATTCAATAATCTGAATGTCAGTTGTATTGAGCTCATTGTTACATTTAAATTGTATTTATGTCCTCAATTGAAGTTCATGAGTCTATCATAGTGGGTGGGTGAATTGTTCTAAACAAAAGCATCCTGTCAAATCTGCATATTTTAATCATTTGTGAATTTGTTTCAGGAAATATATTAAAATATTACCATAGTATTCTGAAATTTACTATTGTATTGGTGCTATTTATCTAAATAATTGTAGTTTTACACTAACTTATGTTAACGATTACATACACTTTGTATCCTGCATTTTCTTGCATTCAGCTTTTTTAGAGATGGATTCTATTTGCAATTCTATGAAGAAGCTGTTTTTAAATAGTAGTAAAATCAATATTTTTTGTAAGTTAATACATTGCATATAAATGTTAGATAACAGTTTTCCATTGCAAAATTATATTTGAATTTTGTATTGCTTTTTGGAGAAAGTTACAGAAGACTGGTTGAAAATCTGTCAAAAATGTAAGTTTTTTGGAAACATCAATTACTATTAGTTACTTCCCTGAGTATATTTATATAATATAATAAACACAACTAACCCAATAGTTACTATAAAAAAGTCTCCATGACTCTAACTCTCGTTTAGCATAAACTGAATGAGAGCCATATAGGGCCTGGGCACTAAGATTCCTCCAATTGGTGCTAATATGGTTTTATCTAAAATCAGTCTGGAAGTGATGATTGACAGAGTAGGATAACTAGAAACACATCTGCACAGTAAGCAGGAATTGTGGGTTCTGCTCTTGGTTGATATTTTCTTAAAGAATATTCTAAAATTAAAATTATATTCTATTAATTTAAATGTAAATAATTATTTAAATTATTTAATGATAAATTATGTATAATTAAATAAATAAATAGGAAATTGAAACAAATAATATTTTCAGTTTATTAAAAAAGATGCACATACTGAATTTGAATCATTCATATATGATATATTTATGCAGTCAGCTGATGATAATTGAAAGATGAAGTATGAAATTAGTTTAATTATTTTAGAAATTAAACTATTTTTTATGTTTCCAGTAACAATAAAACTAAAGCAATTATTATTAAATTAACAAAGGCTTCTTACATAAACAATTTATGAATGCTTTTTGAGAAATATAGAATCAAAGATAATATTTTCAAATAACAGAAATAGAAAATATGGTAGAATAGTTTAAAAAATTAAGCTTGGTAGTTAATTTTTATCAGAAGAAACTTGATAAAAAAATACTCCTCTACAATAAAAATTTTAACAAAAGAAAGTATAATTTTTCCTACAGCTTTTGTATAAAAACACAACACCTAAAACACTGCATTGCTAGAAATCTAATATCACACTGTTTTTGATCAACTTAACTGATCATCCTCATCTATACTTCCTCATGTGTTCCATTTGTAGTTGTTCTAATGTAATATACAATTCAATATTACCTGAAGATGATCAATTAAGTTAGTTGAAAACTTTAGTGTGATATTAAAGTATTGCATTGTTGGAAATGTAGTGATTTTTTATTTTAAAAGAACATCCTGTACTTAAGCAGAGTTAAATGATATTAAAATAAAGTACAATAATGAGGTATTGTTTAGATTCTTTTAATACTCAAAAAATGCTTGAAGAGTGGTTTTTGAATAAAAAAAAAATCATTCAAAAGCTTTTTATAATATGTGTATCATGTATTATTGTTATTTTTCCTTGTTGTAACATTGGATAACAGATTTAAAAAGCCTTTATTATAGATACTATGAAAATGGTACAGATAAGTTAATTACAAAGAGTTTAAAGCATAATTCGCGACATGGGCATATTTTTGCCAACTTAGTGTTACATTGGTGATTTGGTCAGTACAGATGGAAGTACATGGGCATATTTGCCAACAGAGCAGTTATTTACAAGTATGTACAGAGTGTGCAGAGTTTACATGGGCTTTGTAGCCGCAGGATCGCGATACAAGGAAGGTATAAGTGAACCGAGTACACGGGCTTGATTGCCAACCAATAGACGCGTTACAAGTGTGGATGTAGTCGTAGGATACCGATTACATGGGCATGTTTGCCAACCACCAAGTAGTAGGATAGAGAGCTCGCTGGGTACATGGGCACAGTTGCCTGCCAGATATGCACGATACAAAGACGTGTAGCTTAGTTGTTGCTGGGCGGGAGCGATGTTGTACGATGCTGGCGGGTATCGCCGATGTGTCCTCTGTAGATGTCGTTACTCCATTTTATAGAGTCACTAACCATTAGTTTTTTCATAAGTTTGGCATAGTGACGACTGATGCCAAGCCGCTGCAAGGTTGCCTCGTTGGCGTGGTCATATCCACCGAGAGCTCCGACAATAAAAGCACTGATGTGGGTGTCGAAGCCTTGCTGGCGGAAGTGCTGTGCAAGGGGAGCATATTTGCGTAGTTTTTCCTCTCTCGCAAGCTGGAAGGCGGTCTGTTCGTTCTCAAAAGGCGTCGTGACATCGATGATTGTGGCTGATTTTGATTTTTCGTCAATGATCACCATATCTGGTCGACAGATGTCGCTGAACCCCGGTACACGTTGGTTGACGAGTACAGTGGCTCCTTCGGGTTTGAATGCTGCCACTAGACGGTTGAGTATGGCGTTGTGCCTTTGCGTGATGATATGCAGATTTGGTGGACAGTGGCAGAGGACGTGGGCTAGGGTCTCCCGGACATAGCCGCATCTCCTGCAACGTTTGGTGTCGTTGCCAAAGCGTCTATGTCCGCGGAGAGCCACCACACTCATCCTCGCCCGATGGATGAAGTACCAGTCGGAAAATCGAGTATATTTTCCGTTGTTTATGAAATGGTTACTTACCGGACTGAATGATGTCACTTTGTATGCTTTTCCTTGATCAGGTTTAGCAAGCAGCTTTCCGAGGAAGTGTTCTTTTAGAAGGCCGCAGAGGACCCTCTGGCAGTCCTCTGGACGGATTAGCGTAGTACCTGCTGAGATGTTGGGCAGATTTCCGGGTCCGACTGTCCAGGTGATGTTGATGCGTTTCTTTAAACGTCTCGTGGCCATTCGGAGCCTCGTCCACAATGATGTAATGTCAGTGCTTGGTAGCCCAAAGTCGCCAACCATTGACCCGTTGAGGTATTGGCATAAGTCTTCGTCGTTGGGGGTCCTACCTATACGCTTGTTGATGACCTCGGTGAGTGCTTTTATGGCGATGCCTGTGATGTTGGGGTCTTTGGAGAAAAAAAGGTGCATCGCATGAGACACCTGAGCGATATCAGCCAGTTGATTTGTGGGCGTAACATTGGTCCCGCCACACATGTAGGGGAGGTGCACTATTTCGGGGCTGGCCCGTTGTGGGAGGCCAAGCCATTTTTTGACATAGCGCTTTGTGGCCCTGTCAATTTTGGTAAGCGTGCTTTTAGGTGTTGTCCCGGCCGTTAGGCAGAAGGTGAGCTTGGGCATGATGAAGGTGTTCAGTGCGTCCACCTTCTGCCACGGCGCCAGCTTAGAGGTGTGCAGCTTTACCAATGACTGCAGAATTCCATCGGTAGTTGCGGTAGGGGTGTCGTGTTTACCAAAGCCTGTGGGAACACCAAGGTGGCGGTAGGCATCGTCGTTGCCCAAGACGGGGATAGTCTGTTGATTGAGAAGGAAGGAGTTATTACTAGTGGCGTGTTCCTTACCTTTAATGCTGAGAGTCCCACATTTGGCAGTGTTGAAGTTGATGTTCGCCCAATTAGTCCAGTCTGCAATGGCGTCTAGTTGCATTTGGAGGCCTTCTGCTGTGTCACTTATGAGAGCAATGTCGTCGGCGTATGCCAAGACACTGGTTGGGTAGCCGTTAAGAGAGTACCCTTTGTCGAGGTCCACAATGCGGCGTATGGCTGGTTCAACTGCAAGAATAAAAAGCAACGGGCTGATGGGGCAGCCCTGCTTGACCCCAGATTGCATTGGGATGGGCTCAGTGAGGCCCATACTGGTACGAACCTGAGTGGACGACCCATCATAGAGCTGTTGTAGCACGCAGATTGCATCTTGATGGAGGCCGTGCCACTTGAGGGATTCCCAGAGGGTCGCATGGGGGATATTGCCGAACGCATTGGCAATATCCAGCCAAGCGATAAAGCAGTCTTTCCTGCAGCGCCGGGCGTTTTGAATAACAGATTGGAGCACAAAGTTGTGCTCAATGCAGCCCTGATAATTTAAAAACCCTTTTTGTGAAGGAGATAGGCGGTTGTTAGTGTTACACCAGCATAGCAGTCTATCGGCAAGGCAAGCGGTGTAGAGCTTGCCGAGCGTGTTGGAGAGGCAGATCGGGCGCCAGTTGCTGATGTTGGAGACCTCACCCTTCTTGTGTATAAGCACAGTGGTCAAAATCTTCCAGCTGCTGGGAACATATCCTATTCTGCGTACGGCGTTGAAGATGGCTGCCGTGATTAGTCCTTTTGGGTCGACCCGCCTCCAGTGCAGGTATCTAAGCCTATCTGGGCCAGGTGCAGTGTTGTGGCCTTTGGAGATGCGTCGGGCTACCTCTTGGGGGGTGAAAGGGGCCTCGAAAGGGTTGTTGGTGTCAGGAGGCGTGCATGGTCGTACTGGAACTGGAGCGATGTCAGTAGGTGTTGTAGCTTTATACATCTCCCGGTAATGGTCCTCGATGGATTTGGCGTCTATTCGGCAGAAACGGGAGGGGCCGCCGACGACGCGGTCGAAGGCGCGCTTACGGTTGGCTCGATAGAGCCGCTGGATTTCACCTGCCTCCGGCTGGGAGCTGTTGTCGCGGTCACTCGAGCTACGGTGGTTGCGAGGTTGATGTTGTTGCTGCTGGGGTGGGGTGTGGACTTTACATATCTGCTGCGC